ATTGATGATCTGTAATCTGGAAAAGCCCTTAACCGCTTGCCTGATTATCCCAAGTTATCTCGAGTTTGTATATATTGCAGTTAATTATTATCCCGAGAAAACTCGGGCGAAGCAGAATTTGTTAGTACGATTTCTTTTATCACGGCTTTACTCGGTCAGGAGGAAATGAAAGGAAATATTCAGCTTTGATTGGCAGTTTGCCAAATTTTGTTGGTTGCGCGGTTCTTTTGGAGGGACTGGTCGCGTGTTTCCCTATTGTATAGTATAGTACGCTGGCTTGTGGATTAGTAATGTATAAAGAAGGATGCATGCGTTGGAAAAAATAAAATAATGGCGATGATGGAAGATAGCGAAAGCGATGATTTTTCAGCTAGTGATTATGAAAAGGTGGGGGAAAAAAATCGAAAAAAAAATATATATAATCCAACGAGACAGTGTACTCTGTGCTCCTGTGAAAGAGATTCCAGCGGTAAGCCAGTAAGAAAAGAGACCAGATACCAGTGTAGAACGTCAGGTACCACTCTGTGCTGTCCCTTGTTTTAAAACTATTATACAAAGATTAATATTTAACTTTTTTCGTTTGCTCGAGATAACTCGGGATAGTAAACTAATATTAAAAATAAATGCTTTTACACCTTCAAAAAATTAAAAATTCAACTTGAAACCTACATATTTTGATTTGTTTCGTTTTGTTGTATTTAATAATAAAATAAAAAAAATGTGATGATTTTTTGCAATTTTTTTCAAAAAAATTTGTAAGGGAAGCGGTTAATCCAGAATTGCCGAAGTCCTGACGAGTCTGTATCACGGACTTTGTACTGTATTTATATAACTGGAGCTGATGTGAATGAGAGTTATGAAGGTGGATAAGCATCTTGTATTGTTACTACAGGGAAAATGGTTATCAGCATTTTCATCCTCAGTAACAACATCAGTTTCTGCCATTACAACGTGAACTTTCACCATTTAAGTTAAATTGTCAATCTTCATCCTTCACGATAGGATAATTAAAAAGGAGTATGCAACAAATAAAAGTATTGCTAGATATAAATGTGGCCCTTAAAGGATGAACAGAAGTATATTGCAATAAATCTGACTGGGCAAGATCTCAAAAATATGAACAAAATATGCACAGAGGGCAAGGTTTCTTTCTATAAATGCAGACACTTGTAATAGAAGTAGAATGATATGAGCAACTTTGGCTGGCTGGGAAGAATAAAGTAAGGAATTGTCTAGCAAACACATTCACTTGCACATAAAACTAAATTTGAATTATTTAACCCTGTGAGTGGCACAGGATTTTTGATCCATCATGAAGATCAGTATTTAAACAGCATTTATTAATTTAGCTTGTATAATTACTTATTTTAGTCTGCGTTTTCAAAAACTTGGGATTCATTAAGATGATATTTACATTATTAAAAAAAGTATGAAAGCAAAATATCTTAAATTATAAGCTAATACAGTATAAAGTCCGGAATTCGGACTCGTCGGGACTTCAGAGATTCCGGATTAGGGGTTTTTCCAGATTATAGATCATCAGTTTAAATCTGGTAAGGTAGCATGCAGAAATTATACAATTAAAAATATGAAATTGTAATTTATGAAATAAAGAGCAATTATGATCTACAGGGTATCAAAATTTACAAAAAATAAAAAAAGCTTAATATTTATTTGTTTACTTTATTAAACATTTCTTTCATTGCAAGTTGTTTTAAGCTGCTTCGCTTTTTGTGCTAATACATTCTCTTTAATTTTATAAACAGACATAATTTCTTGTTCAGCTACAAAGTTCCACTGTTCAAGTCCTGTAATTGCTGTGTTGAGAATACCGATTAACTTGTCAACCGAAATTTTTTCGTTTTCAATAACCTCTCTGTCACTTTCTTCACTATCGGAAGCGCTATTTTCTGGATCTAGAACCATACTACAGATTACGCCATCCGTTAATTGATTGATGACTGGGGCATTGTAGTCGCAATGAAAAACTTCTGTTATATCATCTTTATTTATTACCGCTTCTCCATATTTCTTTGCAAAATCCAATAACTGGAAAATGTTACCTTTAGTTTGTGATGTCCGAAAACCTTAAAATTCGCGGCTATCATCTTCATTGTCCTCACCATGAAATAATGGTAGCTGGCCATAAATTATGCCAAACATTTTTTAACGTATCTGGAGACACATCCTCCCAACGTGCATGCATAAAGCATACAAAAAAAAGTTTGGCTTTGAGGTCCGGATTATAGATCATTCCAGATAATGAACGTCCGGATTACGGAGTTTGTACTGTATATACCAAGTAGCAAAACTTCTGATGACCGGATAAACCTGGTCATAATGCTCAGAGGGTTAATTTAGGCGTACAGGAAAATTTTAATTTCTTGAACCTGAATGTGATCTCATTTGAGTGCATTAAAGGATTAAATTTTATTTTCGTGGATAATACTTATTTTGCTCTGAAATTATTTTACTTGTGCAGTGCATTCACTGTTAAAAATACCTGCGTTCATTTTTTTATTAATCTAGCAAGGGTATTTTAAATCATTTTTGTAATTGAATAATAATGTGAGGAATCTGTGCTTAGGGTTTCTTCCGAAGAAGTACGTAATTAAAGTAGCTATAGAATTCTGAAAACCGTAAAAATTAATGAAGAAATTTGCCATATTATTTGGTATTATTTTTTATTATAGTACAATTAAATGTATTAGTGTTTTAAGGCCACTGAAAGCAGGTGCTTTTCAATTGAGACTTAGATTCAGTAGTTGCTGAACAGTTTGGTTACATAATATTTGCACTATAGTTTCATAATATCATGTGTATATAATGTACACATAACCAGTTTCTCATAGGAAATAATTCTTGAAGTCCATCATTCTTGATGCAAATAGCTAAAATGTTTATTTGTAATTAGTTAATATACTGAATTAAAAAATTGCCTTTTCTTCAAAAGTGTGATTTTAAATTTTAGTTCTAAATTCTATGGAATTAGGTAGCTTTAAAAACATTTGGGTTCTTTTTAATCATCAGCAATCCCCTATCAAAAAATTACTAACTTGTTGGTGACTAATGTTTTGTAAACTTAATACATGAAAAGTAATAGCCACTTTCAAAATGGTGGCATGCTGTGAACTCCATAAAAAAGCAAATACAAAAAGCAATCAATCAGATTAAAAAAAAGTGAGAAAATAATTAAACTCTTGCCTTTTTCATAAAAATCCTTAAATATTTATTTTTTCCCCCACTCTGCTTCCCATATACATAGTGATCTGTTTCCCCTTAAAAAATCGGAGAATTGCACAAATTTGGTATCGTACATGCTGTTGTTCTAGTGTTTGTAGTGATCTGTTTTTGCTTAAAAAATCAGAAAATTGTACATATTTGACATCCTTCATTCTGACACTTATTTGCAGTATTTCATATTACATTTCCATAAAATTTTAAGAAGTACAACTGAACACTAGTATTGGGCAAAATGCCATATTTCTAAGGGAGTTTCAAGTTTTTTTTTTTTTTTTTTTTTTTTTTACATGACCCAACAAACACCGTAATCCTTATTATGATTCAATTCATTAAAAAAAGTGTGCCGAAAGTAAAACAAACACTAGACATCAAATTTGGTGAGTTGTGTGCATGCACATACTGTGTTGCTACATAAATTGTTTTGGCAACATCATTTTGGGGACCTAGTGCATTGCAGCTTGAATATCTTGTATATTATCTAATTATATTATAATTGTTACTAGTTAAGTATGAATTCTGACATTCTATAGAATACCTAGGCATTTTATAAAAGGCTGAAAATGACTGGCTAAACATTAAACATTTCACATTTTACCTAGGTATTCTATGGAATGCCAGAGGCAAACTGGCAAAATATGAATTATATCTTCATGATATATACAGTGTCTAGGAAAAGTCCATAATAATTTGTGCAATATATTGGCATTTGTAATGAGTGTGACAAAGGATAGTTTCTACTGACTTGGAACTTCTGAAAGAATTTTAAAACAACTATATGAGATCACAGTTCATTTTGTGGTCTTAACAGTTTACTTAGAACTGAAGATATACCTGACCACGAAATCCCTCTCTGGTCAGTTGCAGTTGCTCAGTCCAATGGAACAACAGATGAAAGTATTACTAGATATATAAATGTGAACCTTAGAGGATGAATAAAAGTATTTTACTATAAATCTGACTGCACAAGATCTCAAAAATATGAATAAAGTATACACAGAGGGTAACATTTCTTTCTATAAATGCAGACACTTGTAATAGGAATAGAATGATATGAGAAACTTTAGCTGATTGGAAAGAACAAGTAAGGCCAAAGATTCTTCAAGTATATGTGTAAAACAAAGTGCTGAAATATTAAATGTCATTGTGTCAAAAAAACTAATGAAGTGAGTTCAAAATGTCATTGAAGCCTACTGTGTTGCAACAAATAGGTTAATTTTAGTTTCTTTTTTTTTATATGAAAATTTTGTTTTCTTTAATAAGACCATAAATTTTGTTTTCTTACGACTCTAATTTTTCTGTATGCATTTTGAATAAAAATTTTGTAATGGCACTCTTTCATTATTTTTTCAAAATAACATTTGTATTTTTGAGGAATGAATGTCTTTTAAATAATAGTCTTATCATGATCTCCCCCCCCCATACTTTGCCTAAAGAGCATTTATCATTCTATAGAATGCCTAGGTATGTATACAATGTTCTTATAAAGCATATAGTCTTTAATGATAATTTTTCTGCAGCTTAATGCACGAAAATACTAAGTATGTTTATATTTTGTTTTTAAAAGAATAATTTTGTAATTATAATTCTCATATTTCATACTTTGCCTAAAAATGCCAGGCAATCTATAAAATGTTTAGGTATTCTATAGAATACTGCCGTTTCATTACTTTGCCAGTAACATGTATACTTGCACAAAATTTATTTCAAACATTTATTTATATTTTACAAATTTTTATAATTTTTTTTACTAATTACAGATCATGTTGGTGCTCAGATATCTGCTAGTAACCAAGCACATCAAGCTGCTGCTCTTAATAACAATCATCATAGTAACACACCTACATCAGAGGATTTGCGTTTTCATGGTAGTGAACTAGTTATGTTATATGACTACAAAGCACAAGCACCAGATGATCTCAGTGTGCGAAGAGGTGACTGGGTGTATGCTGATATGAATAATCAGACTGTTGATGGATGGTTGTGGGCATATGCACCTAAAACCAGAAAATATGGTTTCATTCCAAAAGCTTATGCTAGACCACCTGCAATGACATCCTTATGATCGTTTTTACAACATGTTAAATATTGTACATTAATTCGTTGGATGTAAATATTAGTTGAGTGTTAGCTTCTTTTATCAGATGTGCAAGGTAATTTTTCTGAATTATGTTTAAAATAAACTTTGTTGCCTATATAATTATTAACTAACATTTTATATAATCATAAAAGAAGAATCTTATGTCATTTCAGCACTAGATTAATATTTTTACTATTAAAAAGTGATACTAGTATTTTAATAATAAATTAAATTATTTTTTCCTTGATAATCAGCATTTAAAGGTCAAATTCTAAATTCTTTTGTAGTAGAAGTATAATTGTTAATTGTGATTTTTTTTGCAGAAATCAGTCCGGAAAACTTGCTCTAGATTTTATATACTTAAAGAAGATATGAAACAGTTATTCATGTCATATTTAAGAGATTTACATCAGTTCTATAATGTTCATATTGCTTTAACTTGAACTGAATCAAGTATGCTATGCTTGATATTAATTTGTGCATTTGTGTGTGGGGTAGGGAAATTTCCAGACGTCTTTTTCTATATACTATTTTATAGAATACTACATTTAGTTGCTTTATAAATTAATCTCCATGACTAACAAATATTTATAAATTAGTGAGCAGTCATGAAATTGATTATAATAGCGATTTTGATGATGAAAACTGTAAACAAAGTTACTAACTTTATTAATGTGCACAAAATTGCTGAATAAATCACTAGAGCATTTTTTCCACACTATCATCACAGAAGAAATTGGTAAAAATTATAAAATCTTTATTGCACAATTATAACTAGTCCTTTCTTGTATTTAATTTGAAACTAATGAGCATAAAAATTATTACATATTAAATATATAATGCTCCTTCTAGAGTTAGTCTGAATGTTCTGAAAATTATGAATGTAGTTATCTCTTTTATTCACATCAGAGTTTTTCTTAAGGTGCCATTGTGTATTATACTTAATTTTGTGTAGTTGAATGGAGTTCTGAGTGTGTGTTGATGAGTAATTCTAACAAAGATTTTTATCATTAAATTGTTTTTTATAAATGAGGTGATGTATGATACATGTAATATAGCTTGCTCTTTGTATGTAAATTTGCTTGCGTGAATACTTGTACAGATATGCAAGCACAATGATTTTATTTAATGTATACTTTAGCCAAAAGTATTAGGATATTATTAAGTATGGACTTTTGTTGAATTGTCGGTAAATTATTTATATACCTAATAATTTAATAGTCTCAATATCTACATTAAATATTCAATATTCAGACAACATTAAAAAGGGTGAAGAGCTATTTTAATGTTTTTGTTTTTCTCTCTACTTAGTATTGTTTTCCAAAAGCAAAAGTTAAACAAAAAAAAAAAAAACAAAAAAAAAGAACTAAAAGGTTTTATTTGTTAATAAATAATACAGTTCTAGTCTTATTAAATCAGTATAATAAAAACATATTTTTGAATTTTTTTTAATCTTATAATTGCACTCTACAGAGTTTAACTAAATACAAATGAGATTGCATCTCCTATAGTTGGACCATATTTAATATGATGTAAATTCTCCTTTTACTTCCGAAAGAAACGTTACCCGTTGAATTATAGGTTCAGCAAGAAAGTACCTTGTTGAGTTAAGTATCATTAAGAAAATTTTATCAAATACTAGATAATGCTTAGTAATAGTAATCTATTAACCAAGTCTTTCAGAGATACTTTTTACTAAGATGGGTTGCATCTGTTAGAGCTTTTGTCAAAATTAGATAAATTTTTCACTTTGCGTATATTGAAGTGAAATAAAATACTAGCTACGTGAAAGTTCCAATTCAGGTATTGTATTGTTTGTGGCTATAGATGAACTGTGCATTAGTTGCTACAAATGCTAGATCTGCATAATGCAAAAAATTTTTTTTAATGTTTTGGCTGTTTGATGTAGCATATATATTCTTTGTCTTGATAGGAAAGGGACCACTAACCGATTTGTAAATTTTCACCAAAAGCTGTTTTATTTTTGATAAGTATTTGATTCCTGCATGTAGAATTAAAAGGTATATTTCTCAAGTGATTTTTTCCTTTATACTTGAAAAACCGTATGGTTACTTTTTATTTTATTGCATATATGATTAACAGTATTATGTAATAGCCTTATTTATTTAAATGCACATATCATATTTTTCACTTTAAAATTGATGAACCTAGAATATAATGGTGTAAAGATATATCTTTTTCCTGTGATAGGGTTCAACTCATGATGAGATTCAAAATTTTGATGTAAACTATCAGAGTTTCAAATTCAGACATTTTAGATAATAACATTTTGGATTTAGGATTCTTATCAAATTACAATGTTAAAATTAAAAATATATAGCGGGTGCTATTTGATTATTTGCACCTCCCATTTGTAACGTGCAGCGTATGTTTTACCATATTTTTGAATGCAGACATGACTATAGCCAACTGATGCATGTACATACCACAGATGTGGAATGCATATAGAATTGCAAGCATTATATTTAACCATTAATTTCATGGAATAGTATCTACCAACTATAAAAATAAATATCAGACTTTCAGACTTCTGTTTTCCTTAAAAAAATAGCTTTTATAAAATACTTCAATTTATTATTATCTGGTGAATAGAAAGCACCTATGAGCCTTAAAATTTCACAAACAAGGATTTTCCGCTATTGGGAGATAAACGCAATTTTTCGTGAGGTTATGGATAGTTGAAATACCATTTAGTATAGTTATAGTCTGTGTCTCGATTGTAAGTAAATTGTAGCATTTTAAATTGTAAACTAAAAGTTAGTAGTTCTTAAAACAATGTGATTGATTCATATATTTTTATAAAATGATGTTTTACAAAAAACAAATTGGAGGTGTTGGATAACAGTTTATTCTAAATGGTCTGCATAACTACTATGTAGTAATCAGTTTTAAATGTGATTGAAAATAGCAAAATTCCAACCATTAAAAACAAAAATTGAAAAAAGGTGTGCCAAATTTCTGCTTTTAATGCTGATATAACTGTTACATGTGTGGATATATTTGTGCCATATATTTTATTTTAAAATGTTAATAATCATACTATCTTAGGTATGCTTCATTTATGTATGGTAAGAGAATATTGCCAGAAAAATAATTGAATTTATTTGCTTATTTATTTACTTTACTGTATATATTAACATATATAGATATGCTGGAATGAAAATTGGGTAAGCATATAGTATGTGATGCTGCATTTAGTTATTTAATTTATTTTTTAGATAGGGGCATTAAGATTGCTTGTCAGTGTAATCATTTCTTTTACCTGCCATTTTATCGCACATTTGAATTTAAAAATAACATTTTAGTGATGCTATCTAAAAAATAACTAACTAAAAGTGGTAAATTGCATGCTACATGATTATTGAAAATTGACGTTAAAATCATTCTAACCTTGAAATGCTGTTAATAATTAAAATGAAAGCTACTTAGGCTACAAGTGACAAAAAGTTGTATTAAAGTGTGAAGTATTGAGTCTGAGGAAACAAAAGTTTGTTAAAATGATTAAATATTATTTAACTGCAAAAGTTTTCTAATTTAAAACATTATTTTATTTCTGAAATATTTATTATTATATTTAGAAACTATATAAAAACTGTATGAAAGTGAAATTCAATATTAGTCTTTAACTATAACTATGTGATCATGGCTGTGCGTAAATATCGTGCCTCAAAAAATATATTCCTTCATTTTTCACAAAAATACCTTTCTTGTATTTGCAACATTAAAAAATTTTTATGTAATAATTTATTTTAAATTTCATAATCGAAATTCAGGTATTTAATCAGAGTTTTATACACTAAATGCTTTTTGAAATTGCAATGAATCATTTTTGTAATTTTATGATTACTTACTGAGAGTCTTGAAAATAGCTAAGTGGTCTGAATATATAAGATGATATTTTAGAATACCTTAGTTCTATCTCTATTTGTCATATCTGTGGTATATTTGCATCCGTCTAATGCTTTTGGTTGCTGCATGAGAAACTGAAGAAAAAGGAATAGGTATAAAAACTCGTGTGACTTCATGTGTCACATGTGTGTGAATGTGTGACTTCATGTGTCACATGTGTGTTTTTCAGCTAAGAATGTAGAACTTGCACAAGTTCTTTTGCCATTCCTGATATATTTTCAAAATGCAGAATTGCCTTTTCCTGAAAAAAATATATTTAAATATGAATATAGGAAATGTGACAAAGTTGTGTAGGAAAAAGGTTGGTGTTGCAGTTTTTTTAAGATGCATAAAAAAATTGACCACCCCTGACTAAAATGAGAGTTTTAGAGTGAATTTTGAAGTACCTAGAGAGTATTAAGTGTAGGGATGCAGTGATGCAAGTCAGCTCCTAGTTCATTCAAAACATGTTATATTAGATTTAAATCTGGAGAATATGCAGACCATTTCACTTGCTGCAGTCCTTTGTTCTCAAGATAATCATTAGTGTAGAATGATGAAGATGAGATTTAGTGTCTATTAGGAGGAAATTACCAATTGTGCCCCTTAACAGTTTGACATAATTTTAAAGCACCTAGAGTATTAGGTGTAGGGATGTAGTGATGCAAGTCAACTCCTAGTTCATTCAAAAAATGTTATATTAGATTTAAATCTGGAGAATATGCAGACCATTAGGAGGAAATTACCAACTGTGCCCCTAAACAGTTTAACACACACATAAAGATGAAGAAATTCATCTCTGTAGGTTTCAACATTTATAGTTGAACTGTTAAAAATTTGTAACTGAGTGCAACCATTCAAAATAATGTCTATGATTCCACCACCTTTGAACCAAAGCTTTTCATGGATGTTTTCAATCTTATTGTATGTTCTGCTCCCTGTCAATTGCAACATGCCTAGTATCAATTTCCAAGTAGAAACGAGACTCATCAGTAAAGAGAACTTAGCTGCTGTTTATGGTACTACAATTATGTTGATCTGGGTGCCACTGCAGCTAGCGCATTTTGCAACTCGAGTTAGTGAAACACAAATCGTGTGTTTCCTTGCATACAGCCTGTCAGTAATGATATATATCGATAGTCAAGTTACAAATAACAAGCTTGAGAAACTGTTTTAGTGTGTTTTTGACTTAACATTGTCTTTAAACATTTCCAGATTCCTGACATGATGCATTTCGCTCTCTTTTAGATCTTTACATAATTTTACTCTTATGGTATGTATGTCAGTGTCTTTTATTTCTGTTCTCCCAATTGCATGCCAGTTCTGACAATCCTTGAAAGGCCCTATCAACAGTATGTTCTAGCTTCCACATGTGATCCAACTACGCATACAGTCTCTGAAATTAAAATTTGAAGCATACCTTTCCATACATACCGTAAGAGTGGATGTGAAAAATTTGTATATTTCTGTGCAGTAAAGGTGAATCCCATTGGATACATGACACTGATTTTAGCTACCAACTGCCTTTCGTTGGATTTCATTTAATAGAACTAACATAAAGCATATTTTTATAGTCATTCCTTTAGCTTTCTCCATCAGTATAATATAAATAGGAATCTGCATGTACTGCCACTTCATGGTTGAATTAGGTTATCATGAAAACTGAATTTTTCATGCCTATTTCCATACTAATTTTCAGTCTTTAATTAATAACAATATTCATTATGTTTCATAAAAATATAATTAATTAGTAAATGTTTTTATGCAACATAATGAATATCTATTGAAAAGCAATAAAAATACCTCTTTATTCATGACACTTTTATGAGTCCCTCCAAACTAGAGAAATAAAAAATTTAGATTAATAATCCCTGTACTTTTGGCTGTGCATACATATTTAATAAACAAAAAGCTTACGACTGTTAGGCAGTTAGACAATAAACTGTGATATTTTTAGATGCAAACAAAACTGCATTTTGAGAAATATGATTTAATGAATGAACTACATCACAATTTTATTTTTATCCACAGCTTATTAGAGAAGGAATTTCTCTCAAAAAGCGTTTTTGATATTTATTTATATTATTTGTTTTTCATTGTGATATGTTGTTAAATAGCGTTTCCCTGCTAGATTGATTACAAATTAGACATTGAAAGATTGCTGTTAAATATTCAAATTGTAACCATTTTCTTTCGGAAGAATTTTCTCTATCAAGCCACAGAAGGTTTATATTTAATATAGATTATACATAAGTTCTTCTTAAGTCTTTGTTTATCAAAGTATGTTTGGAAAAAAAATCATAAAGTCTTTGCTTTCAAAATAAATTTATTAAAATATGAATTAAAAATGTATTAGTTTTCTATTTTCCGTCCACATGTATGAAAATAAAATTATATTTATAAATTTAAAATGTAAATATTTGTTAAATTTTTTATATATAGAATGTAAATATTTGTTTTTGTACGTGGTTTTGGTCTTAAATAATATGATTCTTTTATTTTCTTTAAAAAAAATAATGCTTCCATGATTTTTTAAACAAGGCATTTTAACTTGAAATTTTGTCACTATGTGTACTGTAGATTTTTTAAATTCATTTTAAAACTATGTTTGAAAATTTATATCATTTATCATTATAGCCATAATTTTAAAAACTTAATGTTGAATATGATACTTCATACCTTAATAAGTTGCCACAGATTAGTCATCATGGAAGCAGATAGCTTTTTGTGTGCTTTGCCGTGATTAATTAAATTATAAACCAATTAATAGATAAACTAATTTGACATACTTGAAAATTAATTAAAATGATTTTTGAAGTTAAATAAATGGACAACAGATATGTGCATAATGTCATATATATGCATTTTCTGGGTGTGAAATGATAAAAAAATTTTTTTTTAATGATATGAAATAACTTTAGTATACAATGCAAAGATTTTGAGCTTATTAAAAGAAGTTTTTAATTCTTTGTATTTAAATAATATGTAAATATCATAAACAAACAATATACCAAACTGTCATAAAATTATGAATTTTATCAAAAATCATGCAGTTTACTGTGTATTGTACTGCATGTAATTTTTCATTATACATATCTTAAAAGTAATTGGGATGGAAATAAGACAAAAGGTTTTTATTATAATATTCATAATTTTTCTTCCTATTATCTGCTCCAATAAATCATGAGTGACTTCTTAATAAATGCATTAATCTAATTTACATTAGTACTTTGCATTAAGTTATTGCAAATATGTTTTAAAGTTTTAATATAAATTTTAAAAAGGGGATAAATACTTTAAAATAAACTAGCCATAAGCTATGTATCTTCTCTTTTGGCAAGTAGTGGAATGCTATTTACTTATTAGAATTGGTGTATAAAATATTATATTCTAAAATAAATACATTTCTAAGATATATTTTAAAAAAATGCATTATATTAAGGGTCTATTTAAGAAAAAAGTATTTTTGGGCAATGGATGTTATAAGTGTATCATAGGTGATGATGGATCTTCAAATACAAAGAAAGCATTAAAGAGCTTATGAATAAGGTTTTAAAAACTCCATAATTTTGCCTTAACAATTTGGTTCAGATACTTTTGGTTCCTTTTGCACTTTTTAAATAAGTACACTGTTGAAGTGCCTTAAAAATGTTTATAAAATATTGTTAGATATATTGAAACTTTAAAGATTTTTCTTTGTAATGGATGTTATATCATAATTTTTGTAATTATTTAATAAAATGAAATATGTTATTATTTGTGTCTTTTAGTTATCTCAGATAAATACCCTTTTTTCCTTCTTTAACGTATTCCTTTTCTGAATTTTCTATACTGGATACTTTCCATTATAAAGTCACATAGACATCGAAATGTACTTAGCACTTACAGAATGGATAAAATTAAAATAAGTTGTCATGATAAATATCCTAATTTAATTATTAAAATAAATATGAAATAAAATCAAAACTGGTACTTTTCTGAAGCACAAACGTTTTTGCAGTGTTTGTTGTTTTAACATAAATATGGGTATAATTTCATTTAATAATATGAAGTGCATCCAGAAAATAAAGACCATTTAGTTATACAAAATGAAAAATGCAGTATTTATTGGAAAAAACACTTATGTTACACACCTGAAGCTTCTTTCACTTATCTACATAATTACTACTTTTTACTTTTGTCTTGCAAGCTTCAGAGTTTCCATGTTATATTCTTCTGTCACCAGTTGATTCAGGTAGTCACTGCATTCTCCAACTCTTGATCGCTTCCAAAACATTTACCGCCCAGAAATTCTTTCAGCTTGGATAAGATGGAAACCACTAGCAGCAAGATCCAGATTGTAGGGTGTATGATCAAAAATTTTTCATCCGAACTAATCCAGCAAATCTTGAGTTGCGGCAGCAATGTGAGGTCAGGCATTGTCATGAAGAAGTGCAATTCCTTTAGAAAGCATTCCTCAGCTTCTGTTTTTGATAGTTCATCGGAGGTTTTTTAGTGTCACACTAATGAATTACATTGATCAAACTGCCTTTTTGTATATAATCCAACAAAAGAACACCTTTACGACTCCAAAAGGCGGTTGCCGTGACCTTTCATGTTGATAGTTTGGATTTTCTCGATGTTTTGGGGTGATGAGGGATGATGCCACTCAAATGGTTGGTGCTTGCTCTCTCAGGTGATGTGAGATACCCAGATCTTATTGCCAGTCACAATCATATCTCAAGAAAAGTAGCTATATCTGTGTGATATCATATCAAGAATGTCAATGCTGATTCCATTCTGAGTTTTGTGTGGGTTACTTTGTTTCCAGAGAAGCCCTCATGTGCAAGGTTTTTTGTAGCTAAGATGCTGCAACACAATTTCATCAAGCTTAAACAACAAGAAACAAAGTGTACGATTCGTCGAGAGTTATCCATCTGTCTTGCAAGATTCTGTTCATTGCAGTCTTCGGGTCTGGTGCCAGACGAGTATAACATGGAGATTCTGAAGCTTGTGAATGTATATGGCAAATGTTTAAATGAAGGTGATAAATATATAGAGATGTGAAGGAAGCTTGAGGTATGAAACAGAATTGTTTTTTTTTTCCCCAATAAATATCGTGTTTTTTCATTTTGTATAACTAAACGGTTTTTATTTTTTGGATGACACACGTACCTAAAACAGCTTCGATTAAGTAACAAATTTGCAGGGTTCGTACGGTCCTTAATTTTTTCAAAAATGATTTGTGGTCCTTAAAAATCCTTAATTTTGGCCAAAATGAATATATGGTCCTTAATTTTGCTCATTTGACATTTCTTATCATTTCTAATGATTGCCATTCTATGTGTGAATTGCGATTTCTCATGAATATGGAATTAAAATTACACGCTCTTAACTAATCTGTTGGCGGATTTGCATTGCAAACGATTAAAAAAAAAAAAAAAAAGCTACCCGAACGAAAGTATCGGTGTCTGATTGGCTATTCACGCAATCTTTCGAAACAGGTGTTATCCATATTTAAATGAAGGGGTGCTCGAGAAAAAAAAGGGGGGGGAGATTCTGAAAATATTTGCCAAAATTAGAGCAATTCCAACCTGGAAGGCCACAAACCCTTCCGACGCCAATAGGAACGAGATGCCTGGAAAGTGCATTTTCAATAAACTGTGGCTTCATCAAGCTGACTACAAAGACTGGATATTGATGGATGGCAATCCTTAAATGTGGTCTTTGTCTGAAACAAATTGAAATTTCTAGAATGGGAGAGTCAGCGCTGAAAATTCACATGAAAATTAAGTTTCGTTTTATCATTTCAATTTGTTTTTACACGGTTTTGCTTAGCTTAATTTCTGTGTTTGTTTCAATTAAGCCATAAATTAATTTTTTATCACCTTCTACGGAGTTTATTCTCTTTTGCACATACTATATGTATGGGATATCGGGATTATGAGTTTATTTCTGCAGAGGGTCTGTTATCGATTTCGCGGGAAATCTGTTGGCTCCATTTCGATTTAGGTCGCCAAGGGCAAATTCGGTAACGCTAGCCGAGAAAAAGTGAAGTTCGGAAATACGTTTTGAAGCTTCAATAGACAATTAAGTATTTGGTTTAAACCTATGTTGTTTGATAGTAATGCATAATTTTTGCTAATGGCGATACAATTATTAGTTGAAAATAACTAATAATTAAAATTTTTTTAATATTTTTAAAGCTGAAAACAACTAATTGAAACTAATTTTCCTGAATTAACTAGACGCAAAATTAACTTTCATGAATTACTAAAGTTATTGGGTAGAAGTTTAACTGAAAATATACATTCCGTATTATATATATATATATATACAGTGTACAAAGTCCGAGGTCTGGACTCGTCGGGACTTCGGCGATCCTAGATTTGAGATTTTTCCGGATATTAGATCATTTTAAATCTACTAAGATGGCACGTAGAAATTATAAAATTGAAAATATGAAATCGTGATTTATGAAATAATGAAGCATTTATGATTTAAAGGGTATCAAAATTTACAAAAGAAAAGAGCTTAATATTTATATGTTTACTTTATTAAACATTTCTTTCAATGTGAGTTGTTTGATTTGTTTTCTCTGCTAATACTTTAGACTAATACTATAGACATATAATTTCTTGTTCAGTTATTAAGTTCCATTGTTCAAGTCCTGTAATTGCTGTGTCGAGAATTCCGAATAACTTGTCAATCAAAATTTTTTCTCGTTCAGTAACCTCTCTGTTACTTTCTTCACTATCGGTAGCTGTATTTTCTGGATTTAGAACCATACTACAGATTCCGCCCTCCGTTAATTGATTGATGATTGGGCATTGTCATTGCAATGAAAAACTTCTGTTTAACTTCGCTAAATTCTGCCGCCTGGTGCGGCCATGCGAGCTCTGGAGCTGGTTCTGGCTTTATGTGAATAACAAATCAGTTATTCTTAATTCAAATAGCACTAAATATAATCGTTTGTCCTATGAGTATCATTAACAAAATCTATTTTTAGCATAAGGAAAGAAATTTCTGCTAAATCTCCCCTTGTCAACATTTTAGCGCATTAAATTTAAATCTGTAATCGTATAATACTCTGTTATTTGGCATCGCTGCATGATTCATCACTCAAGTTGTCATTCGTTGATAAACATGCGGTGATGAAAGCAAAATACAATAAATAATGATTCGCGATTTCGGCATCAAGGATATAAAATATTAGTTGGTGTAAAATTAACAAATGTTTCGGTTTGAGATTATGCCAAGCAGATACGCAGCTATGGAGTCAAGTTACTAATCACACAAATTTATGCTAAAATAATTATTTCTTCAATAATGAGATATTTTTATTTAGCGCCAAACTGAAGATTAAGAATCGGGATTTCCGGCATGTTTTTTTATGATGAGGGAAAAAAATCTAATGCGCATGCGTAAAGCATACCTTCCCTCCAAAAAAGCCCTAAAAAATTGGTTGGTGGTGGCTTTGAGGTCCAGGATTTTAGATCATTCCAGATATTGGATGTCCGGATCTCGGACTTTGTATGTATATATATATATATACATCTTTCAAAATATAACTTACCAGTATGGATTCACTCTTTTAAAATAATTCTACTTTAATTAAACTTAGGAGATAATATAATCAATTAATCTATATTGTTTAGGAAATAAATTATATATATATATAGTAAAAAATGTATATTTTCACTATTCAAGTATTCACTGTGACAAGTATTCTTATCTTGTCACATGAACAGGCCTCTGTGGAAAGGGGTTCTCTGTAAATAAAGCAATAAATTTAAGTGACTCATCATACATTTTTCAACGCACAGTATTTGATTACATAAAATTTTCTGGAGGTGTTCTTAATATCGAAATTAATAAAGAAATGAGATCAGCAGCAGCTTCTGCAAGAAGTGGAGTTCGTTATTTAGAAGTTCAGTATTTAGAAGAACAAAAATCTTTAACTAAATCTGAAAATTCAAAGAGGAAAAGAAATATTATTGAAGAAGAAATTGATTATATGAAGCAGAAGAAAAACTTTCTTCAAAGGGACATTAAAGACATTAATGAAGAAGTAGATGCTTTAGCAGATGAAAGCTGAGACCATCAGGAACATTGATTTGTTTATCAAAGCAAATGAACTTAGAAGAATAGTTAAAGAAAAGGAAATAGACATAAATAAATTAGATTTAAAATAGCTGAAAAGATTTAGAATTTAAAAAAAAGCACAAATGTTTTGTATCTTTTATTGTACAGTTTATTATTCTAGTATCTTTCAAAAAACCAAGGAAATAAATTGTATGTTTACAAATCAGTTATTTTAATCTGCAAAATATTCTTACATTGTGATTATAATAGTAGTTGACTATGTTTAAATAAATATCAAATAAGTTAAATAATAATCATGTAAATCTCTAAAATAGTGACTGTTATTAGTGTAAAATACACTTATACATGTGTTTTCAAGAAATTATGTTCCTCATTTAATGTTATCTACTTCATAACTTGTAGGGAGTTAGTTTAATTTTCAAAATTGTTTTATGGTAAGTATTAAATTGAATTTAATAATAGTGCATAATACACACTTCTGTTAGTTTCTTAAAGTGAAATTACAAGCATGAAGTCGGTGTTATGGATAATTGCTTTATTCTATTCATTTTTTCTTTAAAAGTCTTTCATGTAAGGAAATGTGTACGAACCCTGTATTTGTCAAGGTATTTGTTTTAAAAACTTTTAAACTGATGTCTTGGTGTATAATAAAAATATAAATATTTTACATT